AAGCTTCGCAAATTAACCATCCAGCTCAGAGAACAAAACCGCATCAAAATCATCCACCTGAGCTACAAATCTTCTCTATCATATCTAAATGTCATAAATAGAATAAGAGAATAGAAATAACATCGATATGTATAGATGTTAGAAGTTGGTATATAATTATAGGACTGATAAGCAAATATAAAACGTTCGATACATAACATGGTGTTGAATTCGGTAATATGGAATTCAACAGTGAGAAACCATCGCTTAAACATCTATGAAATGCTCACTAGCGACTTGGCTTATTCCGGTAGGTAGTAACCTGGAGTTCTAGTGAGAAGTCGTGACCAGTAGGGTGCAGCAGGTTGGGTGTGAGAACAAATGCTTGTCGAAGACAATGGCTAGGAGTCGCGCTATTGGCTATTGGATCGGGTCCAAGTGACATAGTGGTCTACTAGCTCGCTAGCCATGTAACCAGAAGGTCTTGAGTTCGAACCCCTGTGAGTGCGTAGTGCTGAAGATTCCCAAAGCTAGGACAAAACAGCTGGCTGTCCAGTTCTCCCAGGTCTTCCAGTGATTCTCTTGACTAATGTGAGCTCATGATAAAATTCTGTAACCAATCTAATCTCTACTAACCATCACCTGAAAAATATTTTGATTTAGAATTACACGTCAAGTAATACTGAAAACAGTCCGATGTGAGAATTCTAATTATAGTAATAATCGTAGTAACGGGGGAAAGATACATAGATTAACTAAATAAACAAAATAAATAAATAAATGTCTATCTCTCTACGGCCAAGGCAGAAGTAGGGATTGTACATACTCCTTTTTTACAGAAAGATTTGACTAAATATTCTGAATGGCGAGAGCCTCTTCTGTCTTTACAAGCTCGTAATGAAGAAAACGTGGTAATTTAGCGTAAATTTGTTAGATGATATGGAAATCATGTACAGAGTTGATAGAGTGAGTGACACTCCCTTCCAATATCTATTCATCCTATGAATTATTCTATATATGACAATAATTGTTTTGCAATGTGATATGTAACTATGATTATAGTCACAATTATTTTATTTGCATTTCATACTACTATAATTATTTCATGTTTGGTTACGGGAATTCATCATGATCTGACATCGGTTAGAGAACCATTGGAAAACCCACTGGGAGTACTCGATATTGAGAGTGGCAGATATCAAAAGATTAGCTGTCTTTGATCATAGGTGCCTGCGTTCTATCTCCTGTGCGAAGTGGTAAAATAAGGTGAGGAATATCGAGGTTAGGCATCCGTCGAGTGCTAGGTAGGTGGGAGGAGAAATCAATCGATGAGGCTATGAAATTACATCGATTGAGATGGTTAGGACATGTGTTACGTATGCCTAGTCATTGCCTTCCTCGACAATGGGTAATGTTAGCTGATATAGGGTCAGGCTGGAAAAGAGCTAGCGGCGGTCAAATCAAAACATGGCTTCAACAGTCAATGAAATCTACAACATTTAGTTTAAGCCACGTAGGAAGGTGTAGACTATCTGACTGGCTGGTTGGGGTCCTCCGGACGGTAAAAACCAATGGCTGGAAACGATCGGTGATAGATCTCAAAGTCGTTCTCAATTGATGGCGCTGATGCATCCACTCCTTGTGACTTATGATTTCCAATGAAACTGCTTTCTTCTTCATTATTACTATTCCTTTGTCTCACACCTATGTTTACTGTCCCTAATGTGCATTACTTTTACTTTCTTCTCTTGTTTTGTGTGCTACATGGAGTGTCGCGACTTGAACTGCCGCACATATGTGCAAAGTTCTATGTTGAAAACAAACAGACAGACGCACGCACCGCGATTCGCACCCAGGACTTTCTGGTTAGAAAGCTGGCGAGCTCGTAAACCATTAAACCACTGGGACCCAATCCTATGGCTCATGATTTCAAACTTCAATTATTCACACCTTTGATCTGCTTCCCTCACTGGATATAACTCCTAAAAAAGTATATATACAGCTCCATAATAAAGAGTCTCTTCACTGAATGTTGTATTCTTAAAAAAATAATAGTTAAACTGCATATATTACTGATTGATTTCAGAAATTAGAGGTTACTCAACACGACCGTTATTGTTCCCTAGCTAGATTGCTGTTTTTGGCCTTCTCTAGCTGGTTAGTTTTGATCATAATGATAATATTAATAACAACACGCATATAAAACATGCTCAGGATAATGACAGCACCAGCAATAGGGAATTTAAATCATTAGTAGTACTTCCATACAAAGAAGGAACCCCGAAAACCGTACAGTGAAGAATTCTTAACAATGAAATAATGCAACTCTTGAGAACACATTACTGGCTTTTATTAGAGTGTTTCCATGGATTCCAAGGACAATATAGGGTTTCAGTAGCGCATTTACATCTTAACCTCTCCTCTTTAGTCCTCTTTGTGTGCGTCGGTGGCACAGTGGTTAGGACTCTCGCCGACCATGCACATGGTCCGGGTTCGAGCCCATGCCGACGCACACCTGATATCTATGGTCGGCCTGCGAATTTTGGGCTACCGATATCCACGCTGAAAATTCCATACTTGTACCAAAAATACAGTGTGGAATCAAGCTGTAAATCAAAAAAAATCAAAAAAAATATCTTTGTTTGGATTTATGATTACTAGTAGACTGTCATCTCATCCTTCAATGATCTCCTCCAGTGTCACCCTAAAACGCTCAACACAAAATTTTCTATTCTGCTCTTAATCAAGGGTGTGCCTAGCGCGCAATATCATTCAACTGTCTTCTACGAAAAAGAAAGTTGGGTAAAATAAACTCCGGTCGTCTGCCTTGTCGCATTCAGCGTATATATAGCCATAACACTGTGTAGGATGAGGTAGATCTTTTGAGAAAGACCCTAATAGAAAATGGATTTCCACCACATTTTATAGATAAGAATATACATTCAAAGCCTACAAAACCTGACTTATCAGCCGTACCGAAGAAAATGCTTTACATGAGCTTGGAATTCAAATGGGACTTAGCTTCCGATATCATGAAACGATGGATATCACAGTCCCTGAAAAGAACATTCCCTACTGAGAATGGCTTTTACTAGCCGACCATTATTGTTCAATAACCTGAAGGACAAGATCCCAATGTTGACCAACTCTATGTGCGTTTATCAATTCACCTGTTCTTGTGGAGCTAGGTATATCGGTCGTTCGACTCGAGTTTTGTCCAAGAGGTTGCAAGATCATTATCCTGCATGGCTACGAAAATGTGGAAGTGGAGCAATAAGAAGCGCTATCATAGAACATTTGGTCGATAATGATCACCCTATCTCGACAGCCTCCGTCTTTAACGTCATCTACAAGGAGAAACATAATTCGCCCAAATCACTACGTACTCGACTCTTCTGTATTGCTGAAGCTTTGACTATCGAAACAAGAGAGCCAGATCTCTGTATACAGAAAAAGTTCGTTCAACCCCTCCAACTTTCATGGTCTTAATCCCTCTATGCTAAAGTATGGTAATCCCCATTCATATTTGTGCTCTACCAATTTTCATTTTTTCAATTTGTCTATTCAATTTGTTAACTTTCCCTTTATTACGTCAATTGTTACTATTCTTATTATAATTATTCTCACTTTGGACTGTCTACGGTATTATTTCACCCGTTCCACTTGTCATTCTAAATCTATTCTGTTCTGCAACGTTAGATTCTATTTTATCAAATTTCACACAATGTTAAGTAACGTTTTTTTTAATTATTATATTTGCCTATTTGTCCTATAACTTTACACCCCCTTCCAATATCTATAATTCCTCTGAACTGTTATATATATGACAATAATTATTTTACCACTTGACAATAAACTATGATTATAATCACAAATATTTTAATTTCATTTCATACTACTATTATTATTTGTTGTCTTCATACATTTGTTTAAATGTCCTCACGGGATACAATTCGTCTAAATTCATATATATATATATATATATATATATATATGTATATATACAGTTTTTGATCCCCAGTGGCTGGTTAGTTTTGATAACAATTCTTGACTTTATCTTGCCTCATAAATGTGTGTCTACCAGTATGGAGCTGCTCGTGTGGAGCCAGGTATGTCGGCCATACCAGAGTTAGCTTTCCAAACGTTTCACCTAACGTTAACCAACATGATTTTAAAAAAGAGAGAAACAATGCCTCAGCAGCTCTGTCTTAGAACATCTAATAGAATCCGACACCAAGCTACACCCCAAACAAACTTCAAGGTCGTCTACAGAGTAGGAAGTAGTCTTCCTAAAGGTGAACGAATGAGACTTCTTCAAAGTGCAGAAGCAATGGCGATTCACTTGCTTAGCCCTAAAATCTGCATACAGAAGAAGTTCTTCAATCACTACACTTGCAATGGACGAAATCTATCTTAATACCCGACAAGTAAAATTTTTACCTAATCTTTTTTTGTCTGAGTCTTCGTTAGTATTATTTTATCTTCTCAAATGTAATATTTTACATTTTCAACTTTCTTGTTCTCTATCCCCACATGATTTAATTTCTACGCCTCACTACCACTGTTACTGACTTGACTAACGCCCAATTTCCAGGCATTTATGATAGGTCATCCAATTTATTTGCTCAATTTTAGATCTAATTTAAATGGTATTATTCTCTACCCCATCTCTACTTAGTCTCTACCTGTTATTAACACTGTTGCTATCCTGACCTAGGTTGAAACATTTTAGTCAATTATATTACGTCATCTAACTAACTAACTAACTAACTAACTCAATCTTACTCTAGCTGTTGTCTAATTAACCTTGTTTCTATATTCGATCACTTTTGTATTACCTGATCAATTATCTAAACTTGACAAACCTCATGTACACACACACACACACACAGAAATAATTATATAAATGCCATTGTACGGCTAGCTGTGTGAATGAATTCGCCGTCGAAAAGAGTCCCTTCACTGATGAACGTCTTCTCTTTTTCATAAAAGCCAAATATGACAAACAACACAACACTTACTGTAAATAGTGAAAAGGTGATTATAGCCAGACTTGTTAGACACTTGTACCACATAACTATTTGATCACTGTATATATTGAGGATTACACCACTGGAAGCCATGATAAATGCAATCACCTGAAAGAATTCATAGAATGATTTAGGTAAATATATATGCGTATATATATATATATATATATATATATATATGGGTGTGTATAACTTAAGCGAAGAAATATTATTCAAAATTTATTTTAGACTAAAGTACACAAGGTAAAGAAAACAAATTAGGCAACTTTTGATCACACGCCCTGATACATATATATATCTGTGTATCTATAGACATTGGGCTAATGGATATAGAAAAGCTTTACATTGACAAAAAACATCGACAACGCTTTCAGACAATAAAAAAATTCTTTGTTTCTAATAAAGGTTCCGGGTGGGGTATAGTAAAGCTGAAAAAAAAATAACTGAAAAGCACACCTCACAAAAATATTTATATATGCCTAAAGAATGATCAATTCATCATTAAGGATGTCGATGAACACATTCACTTGATCGGTTTTATAATACCGAGGTTGTTGTAAGGTACACTAAAAACATCTAAGCAGACACTACAACTATGCTGTATTTTGAAAGTGTCTGGATATGCTTATTGGTTAAAAGGAAAATTATTATTATTATTATTTCAGTAAATTAAATATTCCCATAATTTATTCAGAACAAAATATTTAGAGCGAACAATTGTGCTTTCAATAAATTCTTCTTCAGGCTCTACAATTATAAATCCATTAATCCACTAAGCATACAGTAGCCAGCCAGTCAGTAAAGGCGAATTAGAATCATATCAGAAAGTGTATTGTGGAACAAGTGTAAGTAAGATGGGATGAAACAATAGTCATATAGTTTTTAATATGCATGGACAATAACAACATGGGACAGAATGAGATGAAATAATTTAATTTAATGATGTCTGTATATGATATACTCAATATAAATATAGTTAACAGAAAATACAGGTTTCAAGAGTGAGTATAAATGAAAATAAACCAACGAATGGGGTAGTCTAGACTTAAGTTCAAGGTTGAAAACAACAACAATAAGAATTCAGTATAGAAAATATCCCCATTTAGACATTTAGGCCCAATCCTAGCTGATTTCTTCCTCACTAAGTTAGAGAATGGACCACTGAAAGGAGTAATTAGTGACTTGGATTTCTACTATCGATATATAGATGATACATTTCTGGTCATAAAAAACGAGGACGATGCAATGAACATCCTTGACAAATTTAATGATGCCCATTCAGCAATAAACTTTACCACAGAGAAAGAAAGTAATGACAGTATCTCATTCTTAGACGTCTTCATGGCAAGGAAAGAAGATGGCACACTGAGGAGGAGTGTGTTCAAGAAACCTACTACAACAGGTCAGTACACTCATTTTTTGAGTTTTGTACCTTTGAAATATAAACGTAATCTGGTAAAGTGTCTGGATCATAGAGCTAGGTTAATCTGTTCAGACGACTGCTTCAACGAGGAGCTTAAGATTATTAGAGAATTGCTAAGAAAAAATGGTTATCCAGATACGTTTACTGAGAAAAATATGAATTCAGCATCAAGGACAGTCAGTATAGCAACGGTTCTGAAAAACCCTCTCACTGTTCATAAAACTGCAGTTTCTCGATGACAACATCAGTGAAATAATAACACAGCGCCTGAAGAATGTAGTTAAAAGAGTTTATTATGCAGCAGAGGTACGTTGTGTCTTCACAGCCACCCCTATTCTGTGTTCGAGAAATAAGGATAAACTACCTAAATTTGCCTCTTCTATGTGAATCTACCAGTTTGACTGTAGCTGCGTAGCCAGCTGCACCGGGCGAACAATCAGGCAGGTTCATCATCATATTTCCGAACATCATCCGGCATGGTTAAGCAAGGGACAAACAAAATCTATTCGTAGCTCTATTTTAGCATAACTTATCGATAGTGAGCATAAGGTTGACGTTAATACAGCATTTAAAATTATTTATCGTATTCCTACTAATCTTAGGTAATAAAATCATAAGAAAGGTCATGAAATCATAAAAGTCGAAAATGAACGTTTGTCAATGAAACAGAGGAATAGAAGAAGGAAAAGAAAAGAAAATTGTGAAAGGAATTTATAGTGTTAATGGAGGATTTGTTGGCTTTATTGTAGGCCAAGGTAAACATAGAGGTTGAACATACTTCTTCTGTATGCAGAGGGATGGTCTTCTGGTATTAATTGCAACTGCTTCAGCTACTGATAGAAGACGTAGTCGAGCTCCTCTAGATAAATTACTAGGAACGCGGTAAATAACTGAGAACGCTTGGTCAAGTTTTATCGGGTGTCCAGTATCTACCAAGTGGGCTAAGACTGCACTATTTATGCCTTTGGTTACTCCTTTACTCAACCATACAGGTACATGTTCACGTGCGCGCATGGATAAAGCCCTCTGAGTACGGCCAATATAACTAGCTCCACATGAGCAGTTGAATTCGTAGATGCACATTGATGAGGCCATCTTTGGTAATTTATCCTTTACTTGCTGTGTGAGTACTGGTTTAGTTGAGAAGTTTAGTACCAATTTAGCTGCGGGAAATGTTCTATCTATTGCTCTATTGAGTCGACACTTTAGAATGTCAGCTGCAATTTCCCCTTTGTAACTTAACTTAAGATACAAAGGTTTCTTGTCTACGGTATCCACCTTTACCCTGTCTATAGGTATTGACATATACTTTTTAGGAAGCTCTGTGGATATCCATTTTCTTGCAGTGTGAGTTTTAGTTTATGCATTTCTTCCTTAATGCATTCCTCTGAGCATATTCGTTTTATTCTGTAGCTAAGACACTTAACTAAGTTTCTTTTATGCTGAATCGGTGTGAAACTATGGAAATGGGTGTACTGACCCGTCCAAGTTTTCTTTCTAAATAATTTCCTTTGTAGATATCCGTCTGTCTTCATGGTAAGTAGGACGTCTAGGAAAGGTAAACTGTTATTGTCTTCTTCTTCACATGTAAACTGAATAGTTGGGTGAACACTATTAACGGTATTCAGAAGCTCTTGTTTATTAAGATTTCTATTACAAACGATAAACGTATCATCTACGTATCGACAATAATAGTCAAGCCTTTAAATCGTGTCTTTGAGTGGACCATTTTCAAGCTTTGCCAGGAAAATATCCGCTAGCAAAGGGCCCAAAGGTGATCCCATGGCTACCCCATCAACTTGTCTATAAAAACCATTATTGAACATAAACTGAACATTCATAGTGCATTTCAATAATAATTCTTTGACCTTTTCGGGTGGGATTCCTACATCTATTTTCTTTTCTATCAGCTGGTCACATATGTAGTTGACTGTTTCAAGCAGTGGGACGTTGGTGAATAATGATGCTACATCCAGTGACATCATTTTCTTTCCCTTTACATTCAAGCTTTTGGTAGTTTCCACAAAGCTGAATACGTCTTTTACACTGAATTTCACTACTTCGCGATGATATGATTCTAATTCGCCTTTACTGGCTATTGTATGCTTACATTAATGGATTTATAATTGGAGAGCGTGAAGAAGAATTTATTGAAAACAGTTGTTCGCTCTAAATATTTTGTTCTTATTATTATTTCCTTTAACTCCTAAAGGAACATAGGGATTCAGCCACGCGTCTCCATTGCCTTCGGTTTTCTGCCAACTTTTTCACCCCGCTCCAAGTCTGCACACATGCTTTCATCTCCTTTTCACATGACCTCCTCCAAGTCACCCTTGCATTGACGGCCGACTTGCCGCTTCCCTTTCGGGTTCCACTCGAGCTATGGCTTGTCTAGTGATGTCACTTGGTGGTTTCCTCAGAGTATGGCCAGCCAATCCATCTCCATTTCTTCCTGCCTATTTGTTGCACAGTCGGTTCCTGCTGGGTTGGTTTGCTCCCAGAGATACCTATTGCTGATGTTTTCTGGCCGGCCATCTGATTTTGAGTAGTACTGAGCGAAGACAACTGTTAATGAATATCTGTAGTTTGTTTGAGGTGCTATTTATGATTATTGTTAGCTGATTTCATCGATTTCACTTAATTTTGATTAAGTCCCCATAAATATCGTGATCTCTGGGATGATGTGCTTCCCATGTAATTGCTTGGAAGACAGCAACTTGAATGTTGAAATGACAACTTCACAATAACATGACAACTTCTACTTTGATGGACGTTTAACTCAAAATTCATATTCTATGGTTTGATTTGCAGACAGAAAGACGGAGTAGCCGTGGGAACTACGTAGGTTTTATTACATACAGACCTTTCAGTAGCGAGTATGATAGATGATTCACTCAAATCAACTTTCAACGGTACTTTTCTATACAAAAAGTATGTCGATGGAAATTTTATAACCTGTAACATAAATGATATCCTAAGGACTTTTATAACTTGCCACCAAACCACCAAATTTATTATTGAGGTAGGAACCAGAACGGCGTCGGTGGCATAGCGGTTAGGACGCCCGCCGACCATGCAGACGGTCCGGGGTTCGACTCCCGGTCGACGCACTCCTTTACCTCGCTAAGCCAGAAAAAATGCTGGTAAAGAGGAAAGGTTGAGCATGAGGCTACCAACCCCATCCTGTAAAAATAAACACCACTGCTACAGAAACTTCAAGCCACTAGCTTGAAGCCTTGTGTTCTACTGGGAATGTGTAGTGGGACCTTATAGGAATCAATATGTAGAAAGTTTAGGTTTTGAATAGCTAGCTGACAGTTTGATATCATGAAGTGTTGAAGAAACCTGATAATATGTTTTGTGAAAAGTCTTGATCCCTAAGTTATTAGGTGAACGATCATCTCTTTCTGAGAAAGATGCCACTTGAAAATGAGTTTTTTTTCACACCTTACAGAGGAGCATATAAGACAGAAAGAATCGCAGAGAAGAAAATTACATCTGTTTGCGAAATATGTTTTATGTGAATACGGCCTTCAATGTATCAAGTAGAGAAAATAGAGCGCTCTGAGCATAGCATTCTAAGCGTCTACATTACGACTGATATTGTTTTCAGTTTAAAAGCCCTCCAGTAACTTGAAAAGTTAGCTGCTGTATTTGACACCTTATTTGTGTATCTACTCCAGTG